TGTTCACATCCCTATGTTTAAGCACTATTCATAATGGCCAAGATGTGGAATCAACCCGTGTCTTTTAGCAGGTGAATGGATAAAGAAAATGTGATCTCTACAGTGGAATATTACTCAACCAGAAAAAGAATGAAATCCTGTTATTTTCAGTAACATGAATGGAACTGGAGTTCATTATGTTAAGTGAAATAAGCCAGTCATAGACAAATACTACATGTTCTCAATCATACGTGGGAGCTCAAAAGGTTGATCTCATAGAGGTAGTAAGTGGAATAACATACCAGAGGCTAGGAAAGATGGAGGGAGGGAGGTTGGATGAAGATGGATGGATGAAGAGAGGTTGATTAAGAGGCACAAAACTACAATTACTAATATAAGAAATAAGTTCTAGTATTTGATAGTACAGTAGGAAAATTATAGTTAGTAATTTATTGTGTATTTCAAAGTGGCTAGTCTTTAAGAGAAGAATTGTAATATTCCCAACACAAAGATATAGCCTGGGCAACATGGCGAAGCCACATCTCTACAAAAAAATACAAAAATTAGCCGGGCATGGTTGTACACATCTGTGGTCCCAGCTGCTGGGGAGGCTGAGGTGGGAGGATTGCTTGAGCCCAGGAGGCGAAGGTTGCAGTGAGCCAAGATCACGCCACTGCACTCCAGCCCAAGCAGCAGGAGCCCTGCCTCCTCTTCCCCACCCAAAGAAAAACAAAAGATAAATATTTGAGATGATGGCTATCCCAGTTACTCTGATTTGTTCATTTTACATTGTATACATGCGTAAGATATCACATGTACCCTCCAAAATACGTACAGCTGTTATACATCAGTTTTACAAAGAAGAACAGACATTGAGATAGAGACATACTCCTGAAAATGGGCACACCTCCTCTTAGGCTGTTGATAAGCAGGAGGTGTTCAGTCTAGTAGGAGTCAATTTGGGTTAAGGTTTTGTTTAGTGTTTGGGTCTGTGCCTTCAATGCCTCACAAGTTTCAAATTCCTTCAGTGATGGGCTGCTGTTCATTTGCTTCGAGTCGGGGTTTGGGTGCAGAAGGAAGCGTTTTTCTCTGAGTTCCTACTTCCCCCATAGCTTTCAGCTCTTACTGCATCGTTGCACCTCTGTGGGAGTCACTGTCCATATTCTTGTTCCTCCTGCAGAAGTCATCTGCTGTTGCGTGTTATTCACATTAGAGGACAGGTGGAAAGTGAGGGGGGCGTGCCTGTTGTCCTTAGGTAGGTTCTGTGTTGCTAGACCTAAAGGTTGCAGCTTCCTCAGGGCTCTTGCACCTCCTCCCACAGAGGTAGCTGACCTCCCTGTGGTCCTCCTGTAGGATCCTGTGCCCACAAGGAGAGAGGAAGGTGTCATCTTCTCCTATTCCTCAGCATCAGAGGATCTTAACCTGGTCAGGGCACAGGGAACGTTTCCTCTACATCCCCAAGAGGCTCGGAAGTAATGGATCTTTGCCTGTGCTCTGGGGCGGGGGGAAGAGGGTGTGCAAGAAAGAAAACAATAGTCATGTTATACAGCGAGGGCCGCGTGTAGATAGAGTTTATGTAGCCATAATAATACAAGCACTGAATGTTGAGCTAAGCAAATAATATAACTAAGGAGGAGGTGAGGATGGAAGTATTTTCTGTTTTGGGAAGCCGCAGGGTGTTAAATGATCAGTTAAATTTTCATATTCCCCAGTGTAAGTCAATAGTTAAAGCCTAATACTGAAAAACTTAAAATGTCAGTGTAAGGATGCGATTTAGAAATAATGAGGGCCAGGTGTGGTGGCTCACGCCTGTAATCCCAGCAGTTTGGGAGGGTGAGGTGGGTGGATCACTTGAGGCCAGAAGTTCAAGACCAGCTTGACCAACCTAGTAGGACCTCAACTCTACTAAAAATACAAAAATTAGCCTGGTGTGGTGGTGTGTGTCTGTAGTCCCAGCTACTTGGGGTTCCCAAGAATTGATCAAACCAGGAAGGCGGGGGTTGCAGTGAGCTGAGATCGCACCATTGCACTTTAGCCTGGGTGACAGAGTGAGACCCTGTCTCCAAAAAAAAAAAAAAAGAGAAAAGAAAGAAAAAAGAATGAGGTAAATGTTAAATAAGCTTCAAAAAGTCACAATTCTTTATTCTAAGAAGTGGAAACTGGATAGGAGAAGGAGAGGAGACAAGGGATGGCTTTTTCATTACCAAGCCATGGAGAACTGTATGACATTCAAAGGTAGGCGAATAAAGATGCTTGATAAAATTAAATATTAAGTTCTATAAATATAAAATTTGATAAAGTTTAAAACTGAGTTCTAAAAGTTTATAACACAAGGGTAGGGATAAAGGTGTAGGGAAAATAGGCATTCTTATATGTTGGTGGAGGGATTCCAACTGGTGCAGCCGTTCAGGTGGTCAGTAGGGCACTCCATCAAAGTTCCAAATTCAGTAATTCCTACTACAGATATGGTAGAAAATTGTATTTCACACTTGCATGCAATAAGACTAGAAACCATCTAAATATTACCAGTAGGTGGCCAGGAGCAGTGGTGCACGCCTGTAATCCCAGCACTTTGGGAGGCTGAATCAGGTGGATCATTTGAGGCTAGGAGTTCAAGACCAGCCTGGCCAACATGGTGAAACCCCATCTCTAATAAAAAAAAAAAAATACAAAAATTAGCCGGATGTGGTGGCAGGTGCCTGTAATCCCAGCTACTCGGGAGGCTGAGGCAGGGAGGATTGCTTAAACCCAGGAGGCAAAGGTTGCAGTGAGCCGAGATTGTACCATTATACTCCAGCCTGGGGGACTGAGTAAGACTCCGTCTCAAAATAAAGAAAGAAAAAGAAAAATAAGTATTACCAGTAGGTGAATGGTTAGCAGCCATACAGTGGAACACTATCTAGCCATTAAAGAAAAAGGTGACACTTGTGTACTTCTGTGGAATGATACCCCAGGTAAGAAGCAAGATGCAGAACGGCATCGGTGTCTCTCCAGAAGAGAACTAGAGAAACCAGAAGTAGTTTTGTTTCTAAAGAAATAGGGAATATTTCCTTAGAGAATTACCTGAGCTCAGGAGTTCAAGACCATCCTGGGCAACATAGCAAAACCCCATCTCTACTAAAAATACAAAAAAAAAAAAAAAAAATTAGCTGGGCATGGTGGCACGTGCTTGTAGTCCCCGCTACTCAGGAGGCTGAGGTGGGAGGATCACTTGAGCCTGGAAGGCAGAGATTGCAGTGAGCTGAGATCATACCACTGCATTCCAGCCTGACAATAGAGCTAGATCCTATCTCAAAAAATATGTATTTGTTAAAAGTATGAATAGGCAATTCCTTAGACGTGAACTTGACAGCTTAGGGATAGAACTGGGAGGAAGATTTTTTTTTCCCATATACCCTTTTGTGCCTTTTGAATTTTAAACCATTTGAGTCAATTACCCATATAAAGTTTTAAAAATAAAATTATAAAAATCATTAAGTACATTGGGCTATTTATATGGAAAATACTTTAATTTGTTTCTTAGTTTCCATTTTATATTATAAATTCTGAGTGGACCATACGACTAAATGAGGGAATCAATATGTTAAAACCAGGCCAGGCACAGTGGGTCGCACCTGTAATCTCAGCACTTTGGGAGGCCAAAGCAGGAAGACTCCTTTGAGCCCACGCTGGTCTCATCTCAAACTCCTACGCTCAAATCAACTCCCTATCCCAGGAGTTTGAGACCAGCCTGGACAATGTGGTGAAACCTCATCTGTACAAAAAATACAAAAATTACCCAGGCATAGTGGAACACACTGGTAGTACCAGCCACTTGGGAGGATAACGTGGGAGGATCACTTGAGCCCAGAAAGTTGAAGCTGCAGTGAGCCGAGATCGCGCCACTACACTCCAGCCTGGGCAACAGAGTGCGAGACCCTGTCTCAAAAAAAAAAAGAAAAAAAATTTAAACCTTGAGAATGTATTTCTTGACGTTAGGGTTGAGAGGTTGTCTTAAGAGACAAAAGCATATGTCAAAAAGAGTAAAGATTAACTAATTTGTCTACACTGAAATTTAAAAACCAACATAAAAATGCCATAAAGAGAATGCTGTGATTATCACGGACTGAGAAGATGCTTGAAACACAATTGTCAACATTTGGTGTACAGATTATATAATGAATGCCTACAAATCAATAAGGAGAAGAGTTCAGGGAACACTTCAGTTGAATAATGTGCAATAAACACAAATAGGTTGGTCAGGCACAGTGTCTCACACCTGTAATCCCAGCACTTTGGGAGGCCAACATGGCAGATCGCTTGAGCTCAGGAGTTCAAGACCATCCTGGGCAACATAGCAAAACCCTATCTCTACTAAAAATACAAAAAAAAATTAGCTGGACATGGTTGCACGTGCTTGTAGTCCCCGCTACTCAGGAGGCTGAGTTGGGAGGATCACTTGAGCCTGGGAGGCAGAGGTTGCAGTGAGCTGAGATCATACCACTGCATTCCAGCCTGGACAACAGAGCTAGATCCTATCTCAAAAAATATATATTTGTTAAAAATGTGAATAGGCAGTTCACAGGAAAAAAAAAAAAAACTGAACCTTGGAAAAAAATTCAATTTTGCTAGTAACCAGAGGAAAGCATATTAAAAGAAGGCATTGTTTCATATCTATCAAGTTGGCAAAAGTCTGAAAATATGACTTCAAGGTTTGGGTTGGAATGTAAGGAAATGTATATTGTTATTATTTGAAGTTGTATTTTTTTTATAGCTAGGATGACACTTCACATCTGATTTTGATAGTTTCTTTTTACATGCCGATATACCACAGACATCTTTCCATTTTAACATGATACATGGAACTCTGAACTCCATTTCTAGATGTATTTAACAGGATATATTATCCAATGATAAGACTAATTTGGATAGGATTTTGTCTGAGGGAAGGGTAACGGTATAGAGAATCTCAAGGTTTTCTTAACCTTAGGGTTTTATAGTTTTTCATTTTTAATGTAGATTGTTTTCTGCTTTTTTAAAAGACATTATTGCAAGAGCATCTCAAGCAGACGTCGTTACAATCGTGATTTGGAACAGGATGAAGCATTTATTCCAGTTGGAGAATCACTAAAAGACCTTATTGACCAGTCACAAAGTTCTGGTAGTGGGTCTGGACTACCTTTATTGGTAAGTTAAAAGTTCCTATAAACATGAATGGTGTGTTGATTTAGAATGTGTTCTCCTGATGGTGGACAGTATAATTATTGCAGATCAGGAAACAATAATGGACACATTTTTTTCTCCTTATTTAGAAAGAGGTGTGCGTTATTGCAAGGTGAAATTAGTTAAAAATAAGAAATATGAACCAAGAAAAATAGAATAGGCAAGTAAGGTAGAGCTGTAAACAAGGTTAGGAACCGAGTCCTACAGAGAAGGGCGGGGGAAGTTAGATCACGGAGTCCTATATGAAAGGCAAGAGTTAGCTCACAAGTTTTGCTCTAGGCATTTTACCAGCCGACTTAAAGAGGAATCAGGTATAAGATTCCTTGCATCTGTAAGGTTAAACGGATTGATTGAGGGAACTGTAACTATTTCAGATTCTGAAATAAAAAAGAAGTTTCAACAGATGTTCTTAGAGAGGATGCTTCTCTCAATATACTACCACCAAAACATAGTTCAATAAAAAATAATTTTAAAGGGGATTACAAATAAATTCCAACAAATTTGGACTGATTCTTGGTATGAGAGAAAAAAAGATAATCCCAGCAGGTTCATTTATATATGGAAATACTCAGATTTATGGGTCGAAGGAACTCGTATTTGAGAGGACCTGTGTTATGAACGCTAGATATCCAGATAGGTTTTAGTTTTTAATTGTATTCGTTGAAAGAAACTGATCTCTTCTTATTTTATTTTATTTATTTTATTTTACTTTATTTTATTTTAATTGTATTGAGACAGTCTTGCTCTGTCACCCAGGCTGGAATGCAGTGGCCTAGTCTCGGCTCACTTCAACCCCTGCTTCCCAAGTTCAAGCAATTCCCGTCTTAACCTCCGAAGTAGCTGGAATTACCAGATGCACCACCACGCCTGGCTATTTTTTTGTTTTTTGTTTTTTTGGAGGGATGGGGTTTCGCCATGTTGATCAGGCTGGTCTCGAACTCCTGGCCTCAAGTGATCCTCCCACCTTGGCTCCTAAAGTGCTGGGATTATAGGCGTGAACCACCGCACCCACTCTGATCTCTAATTTTAAAATTCATCTTATTAAATAACTCTAATTGAATTGGAAAGGTAAAAGTAAAACTGCCTTCATATGCAGACAACATGATTGTTTATGTAGAAAATCCCAAGAATGATACAACTACTGCAGCCAGTATATGACTTTATCAGGTTGCAGAATACAGAGTCATTGTACAAATATCATTGAATTTATATGCACTAGCAACAAACAATTAGGAAATTATAAAAACAGTAATAAGCCTAACAATTTATGCAAGACCTGCACACTGAAAATTATAAAACATTGCTGAAAGAAATTAATAAAGCCCTAAATAAGTGGAGATGTTTATAAATCTGAGGACTCAGTATTAAGATTTCAGTTTTCCTCAAATTGGTGTGTAATTTCATTTGAATCCAAATGAAAATCAGAGCAAATTTTTATAGAAATTGATGTATATTCTAACATTTATATGGAAATGCAAAGGACTAGAAGAGCCAAAACAATTTTGAAGTAGAAGAACAAAGAAGAATCACTACCTGATTTCTGGATTTACTGTAAAGCTCAATAATGATCACAATTTGGTACTGGTGTAAGGATAGATGTATTGATGAATGGAACAGATTATGGAGTTTAGAAAGGAACATGCACTTAATATGGTTAATTGATTTAAAAAAAAAAAGGTGCCCAAGTAATTCAGTTGGAAAAAGGCAATCCATTTAACAGATAGTGCAGGAATCTGTTTACCAAAAAGTTAATCTCAGCCCTTACCTCCTCACTCTGTGTACAAAATTAACTTGAAATGTAGCATAGTCCTAAATGTAAAAGTTGAAGTATAAAACCTCTAAAAGAAAATGTCCAAAGGAATTATTGTGACCTTGGGCAGACTTCTCAGTACATAAAAAGCACAAATCATTTTTTTTAATGATAAATCAGGCTTTATCAAAATTTAAACCTTCTGCTATTTAGAAGACACTGTTAAGAAAATGAGAAGACAAGTCACAGATTGGCAAAACAGATCTGATACAGGGTGTTTGTGCAAAATATATAAAGAACTTTTGCAACTCAATAAGACAACCTAATTTTTTTAAAAAATGGCCAGAAGATTTGAACAGACTCTTCCCCAAAGAAGATAAAAGAATGGCACACAAGCACATGAAAAGATGTTCAGCGTCAACAGGGATATACAAATTAAACGCAGTAAGATACTACTACACATCCACTAGTATAGCTAAGACTGACAGTATTAAGTGGTGACAAAGATGTAGATCAACTAGAAATCTCATACATTGCTGGTTGGAATGCAAAATGGTATAGCTATTTTGAAAAACAGTTTGACAGTTGTCTGGAAAGTTAAGGGTATACTTTCTGTACAGTGAAGCAATCCTTTTGCTAATTATTTACCCAAGAGGTATGAAAATTTGTCCACACCAGAGGCCTGAATGTGAATGTTGATAGCAGTTTTATTTATAATAGACATAAACTGGAAACAACCCCAAAGCTCATTAATTTGTAAATGAATAAACAAATGCTGGTACATTCATACAGTGGAATACTACTCATCAGTAAAAAGGAACAACTTCTAACACCTGTAGCAGTAACAGTGGGTGAATTTCAGAAGTATTTTATGCTACATGAAGGAAGTCAGACACAAAAGGCTACACTCCTGCCTCAGCCTCCCAAGTAGTTGGGATTAAGGCATGTGCCACCACACCCAGCTAATTTTTGTATTTTTTTTTTTAGTAGAGGCGGGGTTTTACCATGTTGGCCAGGCTGGTCTTGAACTCCTGACTTCAGGTGATCCACCCGCCTTGGCCTCCCAAAGTGCTGGGATTACAGGCATGAGCCACCACGCCCAGCCAAAAAGTGAAAATTTTTTTATGTGATTAAAATGTTCTGTACTTTAATTGTGGTATTGGTGATTACATGATACAGATTTGTCAAAGGCTTGTTGCACTTTTCCCAAAAACGGTACATTTTATGTAAATTATAAAATCTTGACTTAAAAACTTACACCCTGAGGCAGGTGGATCACTTGAGGTCAGGAGTTCGAAACCAGTCTGGCTAACATGGTGAAACCCCATCTCTACTAAAAATACAAAAATTAGCTGGACATGGTGGCAGATGCCTATAATCCCAGCTACTCAGGAGGCTGAGGCAGGAAATCGCTTGAACTGGGGAGGCAGAGGTTGCAGTGAGCTGAGATTGGCTGCTACACTCCAGCCTGGGCAACGGAGCGAGACTCTGTCTCAAAAAAAACAACAAAATTTACAAAAGGATTCTATAATAAATGATACATAAAGTCACTTTAACTTTGCACTAAATCTAGTTTATTTTAGAAGTATTTCCAACTTGGAACATAATGTTCTTTTTAATGTAGAATGATCACTAACGCTTCTGAAAATGAAAGATAACAATCCATATACATCTTTTATTTAACAAATATGAAAGTACTTCTGATATTGTCCCAAATAAATTCCTGTATTCTGTGAGCAGGGGATGGATTTCAAGCAAATATATACGTAAATAAGAATAAAGTTATGATTGTGTGAAGTGCAGCAACTGAGAGGTTTTGTGTGCTATGAAGGTGTTTAAGTGAGAAAATAGCACTCTAAGTAAAGGGAACTGGACATTCAAAAAGACCCAGAGACAGGAATAAGCTTGAGTGAATTCTAAAAGTTGACATAAATCAAACAGGAGGTTTGTGGCTGGGTGGTCACAACGAATAATGGGGCCAAGCCAGATCTTGCAGGGTCTTATAGATGGAATTTTTAAGATCTTTAACTGTCATTTGGACTTTGCTGCATAATAAACCATCCCAAAACTTAGTGCCGTGAAGCAACAAACATTATTTCTCATTCTGTGAGTCTGCAGGGCAGTTCATTTGTTGGACTTGCTCAGCTAGAGCTAGGTGGTATAGTTCACACGCATGGCCAACCGTTCATGCTGCCATTATTTGTTGTTCACAGGGTTACCAAAGCAGCAGGAAGGGGCAAGCCCCAGTCCACAAACATTTGTCAGGTCTTTGCTTGCATCACGTTTGCTGTTGTTCTTTTATCCAAAGCAGGTCATATGGCCTAAGCCCTGAGTCTGCGGGCCAGGAGTACCCATGGCTGTGTGCACTGGGAGGGAAATTATTATGACCATTTTTGCCATTAGCCACACTGAATAACCTGTTTATAATTTCAGAATACATTGTAAATTGTTTCATACTTTAAAGTACATTATGGCTGAGCATGGTGGCTCACACCTGTAATCCCAGCATTTTGGGAGGCCGAGGTGGGCGGATCACCTGAGGTCAGGAGTTCAAGACCAGCCTGGTTAACATGGCTAAACCCCATCTTTACTAAAAATACAAAAAAATTAGCTGGATGTGGTGGCGGGTGCCTGTCATTCCAGCTACTTGGGAGGCTGAGGCAGGAGAATCACTTGAAACTAGAAGGTGAAGGTTGCAGTGAGCCGCGATCGGGCCACTGCACTCCAGCCTGGGCGATAGAGCGAGATTCCATCCAAAAAAAAAAAAAGTACATTATAAGTTTTTAACTGGAGCTGGTTGGGTATACCATGCTTTTTGATGAGATGGACTATCCCTTTGCCAGTCTTAATGGGTTTCTTTCATCAAGAGCTCAAACCTTTTACTTTTTTCTATAAAGGTTCAGCGAACTATTGCCAAACAGATTCAGATGGTCCGGCAAGTTGGTAAAGGCCGATATGGAGAAGTATGGATGGGTAAATGGCGTGGCGAAAAAGTGGCGGTGAAAGTATTCTTTACCACTGAAGAAGCCAGCTGGTTTCGAGAAACAGAAATCTACCAGACTGTGCTAATGCGCCATGAAAACATACTTGGTGGGTACACACTGATTCAGTCAATTTCACGTTTGACAAGGCTAGTGGGGGTGCAGGTGGAAGCCTCTATATATGCTTTGAAAACGTGTGAGTTCAACTATATACACTTGTCTAAAGGAAACCCAGTAGAATACATGGTTTAAATATAACATAGTCTGGAATGCCAACCAAGCTGTTTCTTTACTAACCAGTTGAAGAAACAGCAGTGAGCTTCAAATGGAAAATAATACTAGTTTATTGGACTTACTCCCATAGTAATGAAAACACAGTCTTTCATAGATAATTTAAGCAGTGATTTAGGGTAACATATGTCTTTTCCCTTTCATAAGCCCAACAGCCCAACATGCAGTTTCATTGTATGTTCTGTGTTTAATGTGTGTTTCCCCCCATCTCCACATTTACACAATAATAGCAAAGTAATTTAGATATGAGCTGGTCAGTCAGGTGCATAAGGCGATCTGGCTATCCTGAGTTTTCTTTTCCCTTCACCTCCTGTTTTCCTCCCTTTAATTTGTAGAGTGCATAGCACATTGCCAAGCAGGCAATTGTATTAGTTTCCTAGGGCTACTGTATCAATTACCACAAACTGGGTGGCTTCAACCTCCAAAATGTATTCACTCACAGTTTTCGAGGCCAGAAGTTTAAAACCAAGGTGTTGGCAGAGCTGTTGTGTCTCTGAAGACTCTAGGGGAGGAGCCTTCCTTGCCTCTTCTGGCTACCGGTGGTTGCCAGGAATTTTTGGTGTTCCTTGGCTTATTATAGACAACACTCTGGTCTCCGATTCTGTCATCAAGTGGCCTTCTGCCTGGGTGTCTGGGTCCACATTTCCACCTTATAACATCACCAGCCATTGAATTCGGGCCCACCCTAATCCTGTATGAGTTATCTTAACTTGATTACATCTGCAAAGACCCTCTTTCCAAATAAGGTCACATTTATAGGTGACATGGATTCTAGACATGAATTTTGTGGGGGACCACTGTTCAGCTTAGTACATGGCACTCACTGACCTTTTTCTGGAGGGAAGACGGTAGGAGAGAAAGGAAAAGAGCAGGACTGTGGACCTGGCAGTCAACGAACCAGACTGAAAAGGCAGCTGTGATGAGTCACTGATGGGCAAATGGGAGTTGGCTTAATTAGGAGCTGACTCTTAGTTGGACATTCTTAATTTTATTAAAGTGTCCACTTTTTGCTTTGAAATTGAGAGCCTTTTCCACTAGAGAATCATGTAGGTTGATAATATTCTCCAGGTTATTTGTATAATATGTGATCTTTTTCTTTTCTTTTTTTTTTTTTTTTTTTTTGTTTGTTTGTTTTTTTGAGACAGAGTCTCGTTCTGTCGCCCAGGCTGGAGTGCAGTGGCGCCATCTCAAGTCACTGCAACCTCTGCCTCCAGGTTCAAGTGATTCTCCTGCCTCAACGTCCAGAGTAGCTGGGACTACAGGCACGTGCCACCATGCCCAGCTGATTTTGGTATTTTTGGGAGAGACGGGTTTTCGCCATGTTGGCCAGGCTGGTCTCGAGCTCCTGACCTCAAGTGATCCGCCCGCCTCGGCCTCCCAAAGTGCTAGGATTACAGGTGTGAGCCACCACACCTGGCATATGTGATCTTTTTCTTAATCATATTATCACTTTCGTGATTATTAAGATTATAATAAATTTATTGTAGAAGTACAGTTATATGTGTAAATGTAGAAATAAAATTTTTAGTAACACATTCATGATTTGGTGTCAGGCAAATTAAAGTTTCACTATCTGCACATGATACCTAAGTTTTTCTCAATATCTAGAATGAGCATTACTTCTCCCTAGCCATCTCTGATAATGACTAACCTTTTAAACTCATCAACTGGACAGGTTTCATAGCGGCAGACATTAAAGGTACAGGTTCCTGGACTCAGCTCTATTTGATTACTGATTACCATGAAAATGGATCTCTCTATGACTTCCTGAAATGTGCTACACTGGACACCAGAGCCCTGCTCAAATTGGCTTATTCGGCTGCCTGTGGTCTGTGCCACCTGCACACAGAAATTTATGGCACCCAAGGAAAGCCCGCAATTGCTCATCGAGACCTAAAGAGCAAAAACATCCTCATCAAGAAAAATGGGAGTTGCTGTATTGCTGACCTGGGCCTTGCTGTTAAATTCAACAGGTTAGTGGTTCTTTGCCCCACTGTTTTGAAATTTTTTTAATCTCCAAAAGATATTTCCCTATTTGTCTTCAAGATAATGGAATTCTAAAACTGTACACATGCTCGTTTTTAGTAACATAAATATATAATTGGGGGGATTTTGTTCTTTTGACAAAAATTGTGTGCTACTCCTCCTATACATAATTCTTGATATATTTTTGGGGTTTTTTTTTTTTTTCTTTTGAGACAGTGTCTCACTCAGTTGCGCAGGCTGGAATACAGTAGTGTGATCATAGCTTACTGCAGCGTCGACCTCATGGGCTCAAGCAATCCTCCCACCTCAGCTTCCTGAGTAGCTAGGACTACAGGCGTGCACTGCCACACCCAGCTAATGTTTTTATTTTTGTAGAGATGGGGTCTCACTGTGTTGCCTAGGCTGATCTCAAACTCCTAAGCTCAAGTGAGCCTCCCAAAGTGCTGGGATAACAGGTGTGAGCCACTACGCCCAGCGGGATTTCCTTTGTTATAGTCTTAGCCATCCTTCCATTTCAGCTGATGTAAATCTACCTCATTCTTTTTTATAGATGCAGAGTTTTCTTTATCTGGAGGTACTGTAGTTTATTCTTAAGACCCAACTGATGAACATTAAAGGTGTCTTCAGTTGATTATTAAAAAGGTTTTAATGAACATTGTTGTATTTTATCCATATGTTATATATTGGATCCTTGTGCACTTGTACAAGCATTTCTTCATGATGGATTCCTAGAGAAGGGCCTGCTGAGGCAGTGAGTTTATACATATTAAACTATGGTATGTTGCATATTATTTCTTTTAGGAGTGTGCCTTAGTTTACACACCCATAAGCAGTAGAGATAAGGATGTCATTTTTCTATCACCACTTGATAGTGTCAGTATTTTAAAACAAATGCAAGTGTTAGAAATTACAAATTTTTAGAAAACCTTTGAGACCATTTTAATCTCGTAATTCTAGAATGGAGTGGCTGCGTTACACTTCAGAATTCATTTTAGGCTGTAACATAAAAGTTCCAGTCTTTAAAACAACTGTAAGGGACATTTAAATCTGTTGCAGTGTTGTGAGTCAGTGTAGTATTTGTTGGCTCAGATATTTATCAGATGCTATAAGAAAATACAGTGCATATATTGATCACTACTTTAGAGTAATTATTACTAATTGTCAGTATGATCATGTAAACATTGCTAACAACAGAACTATGTTGATTGGACCCATAAAGAAGAAAATGTAATCCTATGTCACAAAGCCTTAGTGTATCATACGAGAGTGGTAAAAGCAAACGATTCCTCTTCTATTTTCATATTCACCACTTCTCAGACATAATTATCTACTGTCTTTTTTTTTTTTTTTTTTAAGACAGAGTCTCACTCTGTTGCCTAGGCTGGAGTGCAGTGGCATGGTCTCGGCTCACTGCAGTCTCCACCTCCCAGGTTCAAGTAATTTTCGTGCTTCAGCCTTCCAAGTAGCTGGAATTATAGTCAAGTGCACACCACTCCTGGTTAACTTTTGTATTTTTAGTAGAGGCGGTGTTTCACCATGTCAGCCAGGCTGATCTGAAACACCTGACCTCAGGTGATCAGCCCTCCATGGCCTCCCAAAGTGCTGAGATTACAGGCATGAGCAACCGTGCCTGGCCTTACTTTATCTTATATTCAGTGTTGTCCTCTTTCTTAGACACCAAACTTATTTAGTGACAAAACCTGACGTGAATGGATGTGAGGTATGTATTGCCCTTATCCAGTTGAGTAGGACTATCGGACTTAGTGTTTTGCTGCAGACACAGTACTGAGTACTGAGTTTGATTAAGAGTGCTGCCCCAACTCTACCGAGGATGTCATGTAGTATGTAGCATATATTTAAAGAAAAATCTGAAAAATGCTAAATTCCACAATACATCTGGCCCCAAGGAGAAAAAGAAGCTTTTATAAAATAGGACAAAAATGCAAGATAAACTATTTTATTCTTAGCCCTCAACTTGGACATTGGCTTTCTTTTGTTTCAGTGACACAAATGAAGTTGACGTGCCCTTGAATACCAGGGTGGGCACCAAACGCTACATGGCTCCAGAAGTGCTGGACGAAAGCCTGAATAAAAACCACTTCCAGCCCTACATCATGGCTGACATCTACAGCTTCGGCCTGATCATTTGGGAGATGGCTCGTCGTTGTATCACAGGAGGTAGGAGTTTGAGTAGTTTCTGATTATATTTGTTTACCCATCATTTTAAAAATAACGGCTCCAGTTATATAACTTTTTATTTTTTAATTTTTGTGGGCATATAGTAGGTGTATATATTATTGGATAAGGAGCTATTTTGGTACAGACATGCTGTGTGTAATAATCACATCTTGGAGAATTGGATATCTGTCCCTTCAGACATTTATCCTTTGTTTCACCAACCAATTATAGTCCTTGAGTTATTTTTAAGTGTACAATTAAATTATTATTAACTGTAGTCCCCCCGTTGTGCTATCAAATACCAGGTCTTATTCATTTTTCTATTTTGTGTCTACTCATTAAACCCTGGCCCCCTGCTACCCTTCCCAATCTCTGGTAACCATCCTTCTGTTCTCTGTCTCCATGAGTTCAGTTGTTTTGATTTTTAGATCTCACAAGTAAGTGAGAACATGTGAAGTTTGTCTTTCTGTGCCTGGCTTATTTTACTTAATGACCTCCAGTTCCTCCATGTTATTTCAGAAGACAGAATCTCATTCTTTTTTTCTGGCTGAATAATACTCCGTTGTGTATAGGTGCCACATTTTCTTGATCTGTTCATCTGTTGATGGTCACTTAGGTTGCTTCCACATCTTGGCTATTGTGAACGGTGCTGCAGCAAACATGCGGGTGCAGATATCTCTTTGGTTAGCTGATTTCCTTTCTTTTGGGTATACACCTAGGAGTGCAATTGCTGGCAGTTACGTAATTTAGATGTCACATACGTCAGAGTCCCCAAGACTGCCCCCAGGTTGTGCGATTTCACTTGAAGGACCACAGGACTCGGCATGTGGTTGTCCCAATGGCTAACATTTATCCCAGTGAAAGGGTACAAATCAAAATCAGCCAAGTTTTAGCAAACCAGGCGAGGCTTCCCAGAGTCCTGTCCCAGTGGAGTCAGGGTGTGCTTCATTCCTCCTACGAGTTGTGACAACACATACAAAGTGTTCTCGTGCAGGGAAGCTCCTTAGAGACTTGGTGCCCAGAGATTTTACTGGAGGCTGGTCACATAGGCATTCTCTGCCTGGCATGTAGCAGAATTCCAGCAGGAAAGCAGATGTGCAGTACGCACCACATTGTTTGCACAAGCAGCCCAGTAGTGGTGAGTCACCCTCACCGTTTCCAGGAGGTTTGATATCCACGTAGGGAACTGTTTACCATTCATGTATCCAGGCACTGGCCAAGGCCAAACCTTGCAAGCCGCCTTTCCTAAGGGAAGGTCTCAGGCCTGCTGTGTGAACCCTTATCTGCACCTCATAAGTCTTTCTACTGCAGAGCAAACTGAAAAAGTAATAAATCTATTCATTAGTAGGAACAACCGTGTGAGTAAATAATTATACTTGAGGGTAAATGGCTGGTTTCGCCTTGCTTATTTTTTGTAAGGAAGATTGGTATGCCCTTTGTTGATGGCCTCTGTCACAGTTGTGATGACATCCCTGGTGGAGGTAGAGGACGTAGTTGGACATAAATAAGAGAAAAACATACATCTGCTATTAAGAGTGAATCATCATGTCTGTATTTTTTCTTGTGTAAGAATCCGTTTTAGTTCCATAGTTTAGCAAAGGATGCTTAATAGATTGGTATATTTTGTCCAGCAACTGTTTTTGTGCTCATGTTTTCTCCCTTACAGGGATCGTGGAAGAGTACCAATTGCCATATTACAACATGGTACCGAGTGATCCGTCATACGAAGATATGCGTGAGGTTGTGTGTGTCAAACGTTTGCGGCCAATTGTGTCTAATCGGTGGAACAGTGATGAAGTGAGTGGAACTCAGTCCCCTGAAGAAGTGATTGGTAAATGCCACGAAAGATAGTCTCTGCTCACTAAACATCTCTTTACTTTTCAGTGTCTACGAGCAGTTTTGAAGCTAATGTCAGAATGCTGGGCCCACAATCCAGCCTCCAGACTCACAGCGTTGAGAATTAAGAAGACGCTTGCCAAGATGGTTGAATCCCAAGATGTAAAAATCTGACGGTGTAACCATCGGAGGAGAAACTCTAGACTGCAAGACTGTTTTTACCCATGGCATGGGTGGAATTAGAGTGGAATAAGGATGTTAACTTGGTTCTCAGACTCTTTCTTCACTACGTGTTCACAGGCTGCTAATATTAAACGTTTCAGTACTCTTATTAGAATACAAGCTGGGAACTTCTAAACACTTAATTCTTTATATATGGACAGCTTTATTTTAAATGTGGTTTTTGATGCCTTTTTTTAAATGGGTTTTTATGAACTGCATCAAGACTTCAATCCTGATTAGTGTCTCCAGTCAAGCTCTGGGTACTGAATTGCCTGTTCATAAAACGGTGCTTTCTGTGAAAGCCTTAAGAAGATAAATGAGTGCAGCAGAGATGGAGAAATAGACTTTGCCTTCTACCTGAGACATTCAGTTCGTTTGTATTCTACCTTTGTAAAACAGCCTATAAATGATGATGTGTTTGGGATACTGCTTAGTTTATGATAGTTTGTCCTGCCTTCCTTAATAATGTGTGTGTGTGTCCATGCACATGCACGCCAGGATTCCTCTGCTGCCATTTGAATTAGAAGAAAATAATTTATATGCATGCACAGGAAGATATTGGTGGCCGGTGGTTTTGTGCTTTAAAAATGCAATATCTGACCAAGATTCGCCAATCTCATATAAGCCATTTACCTTGCAAGTGAGATAGCTTCCCCACCAGCTTTATTTTTTAACATGAAAGCTGATACCAAGGCCAAAAGAAGTTTAAAGCATCTGTAAATTTGGACTGTTTTCCTTCTACCACCATTTTTTTTGTGGTTATTATTTTTGTCATGGAAAGCATCCTCTCCAAAGTTGGAGCTTCTAATGCCATGAACCATGCTTACAAAGAAAGCACTTCTTATTGAAGTGAATTCCTGCATTTGATAGCAATGTAAGTGCCTATAACCGTGTTCTGTATTCTTTATTCTCAGTAACTTTTAAAAGGGAAGTTATTTATATTTTGTGTATAATGTGCTTTATTTGCAAATCATCCACTCCTTTACAACCATACTTTATATATGTACATACATTCATACTGTAGAAACCAGCTCATGTGTACCTCACATCCTATCCTTAAGGGAAGAAATGTTATAAAGTAGAACTAAATATGACTTTTCAGAATTAATGCATTCAAAGTAATATATCAAATCCAGGGCTTTGTTAACTTCAGGCAAAAACTTCATTAGGGTAATATCATCTCAATTTTTTCAAATGAAAGGATTCTTTAATTAGAAATTTATATGTCAGAGCTGTTATAAATTTATCAACTGTTAAATATGTTTTGGACATCTACATCATTTGAGATTTTTGGTTTTTGATTTCTGTTCCCTAACTTGTGAAGACAATGAAAAATCAGGCAGAAATATTTAGTATCTAGTCAGTATCTGTAGCTACACTGTATAACTGTTCTTCAATAAAATGGTACATATTTTATAGATGCCTTGTTATCTCAAGAAATCTGATTTACATAAACTTACACTTCTTTAATGCCTTTTAAATATTAATCTCCTATTCTGAGCAAACAACTCATGAGTACATCAAGTGAGATAGTTTTATTTGATTATAACAAAATAAATGTGATTATGTCACAACATTGTCAAAAAGGTTTAAATTAAACAGGAGAAAATCAGCATATGTCCACCCATTACCAAAATGTGACTATCATTTAAGGTTAAAACTTACAAATTTGTCTACACATCAAATTTCACAAATTTGAAACTTGCCTTAACCATTTTGATTAATAAGTTTCATCTACCATAATTAAAGTCTGAAGTTTTCATCAAGATAAGTAAATTTGCATATGAATAATACCCAATAACTTGCTTTTTCAGAATTTTCCCCATATGTATATTTTAATCTGAGTTGCCATATGATATGATCGCACTTAGAACACCCAATTTACTTAACCTTGGTTTACTTTTGACTTGATACCATAAATCTTTAAAATCATTTGTCATGTTAATAAAATATGTAAAGACAGGCAAAGTTTATTCTTGGAAATGTTCAAATGGTATGTGGAAGCAAAAAATTACAGCCAGTATATGAGACCACTATTACGGTTTTTTTAAATTAACTTGGTCTAGTAAAAGTGGTATCAAGAGTTAGTCTTAGAAACTTGTTCAGTAAAAACATTTTCTAGTATAACATATTCTTTAAAAAGCAAATGCTGCCATCTTTGGAATCTTAATCTAAAAATGTGGCCAGGCACGGTGGCTCACGCCTGTAATCCCAGCACTTTGGGAGGCTGAGGTGGGCGGATCACAAGGTCAGGAGTTCAAGACCAGCCTGGCCAACTTGGTGAAACCCCATCTCTACTAAAAATACAAAACTCAGCTGGGCATGGTGGCGGGTGCCTGTAATCCTAGCTGCGTGGGAGGCTGAAGCAGGAGAATCGCTTGAAACCAGAAGGCAGAGGTTGCAGTGAGCCGAGATGGTGCCACTGCACTCCAGCCTGGGCAGAAGAGTATAAACTCCATCTCAAACAAACAAGCAAGTAAATAACAAAAAACAAAAATTTTGCATTCAACTTAGTTTTCGTCTCTCCTTTCCACTCTTATTCTTAAATCTGAAGCTCATCGAGTAAGTGAAATATTTAAAGAATATGATAGACCAGCAGGAAGAAGTATTATGTAGTACCATAGTTAGTAAATTTGTAAAACCTTGGAAGCTATTATTTGGTCCCACTTGCAATTTAATGTTTTTAAATGTGTAGCTTCATTTAGATATCTATAAGTAATTAAAATATAAAAGCAAACAAAAAACCTAAACTACCTGACTATGAACAGGAAAAGGTAACCCTCAGAGAGAGTTATCCTTGTGAATTCTCTTTATGCTGGCAAATAGCTCTAGGATTAAAGGCACATTAGGGTTTCCTTCAGTTTGTTTATTCTAAGCTTTTACTGTGTTTCATAATGAACAAGTTTCTGATGTACAAAACTTGAATCCGATTTCTTTGGAAATATTTTCACAAAGTTATTTTAATCAATATTTTACATTGCCTTTCCAGTGTCCAGAAGTGTTTCTAAACTTTGAAAGTGACCTATAGTTTTTTAAAAGTATGTTTTCCTAGAATGTGCCAAATTTTGATTTACTCACTCTAACAATCAATACTTTTCTTGAGATGCTTTGTTCTGTTTAGAACAAAAATGCACTACAGTTTTTAAAGGATCATGCATCTTTGAGTTGGCCCAAGATCAAATTTGATATTGAATAATTTATTCCAGGGCAGCTTTCATAAACACACTTCATAGATGTTGTTTTGAAATGTTTCTAAGTATCTAAAATCATTTCAACGGCAGAAATGATTTTTATTTTAACAAAAAGATTATGATGGCCCTCATAGTGTTTAAAAGTGATCATATTTATTACTGACTTGAGTCAGGTGTTAAAATAGCAGTGCCACAGCTCGTCTCTTGCCTAAGTGCTATTGTGAGAGTCACAGTGGAAACTGCAGGGAGGAGACGTGTTCCTAAGAACCAAAATCCAGGGCAGCAGCCTGTGAAGCCACGTGTAATGATGGTCCCATAAGGAAAGTGTGGGAATATGGCTTTTGCAAAGGATTAACTATTGTAATTTTAGCTTATGCTCTGTATTCTGTTTTCTATGGAATTATTTAAGACCTTTTAGTGACCTTTGTCCTGGCCCATTTAAAAACTAAAATGTAGTATATATTGTATAAAATGAAAATATCATTATTGCTTCATTAGGGAAAACTGTACATAGGCATTGAAAAAAGGCTAAAAGCAAGCAGTTTTATCAGGCAATTGTAAAACACCAAACATATAGATTTGTCTTTGATATGTAACACACTAAATGTATTTTGTACAGCATCTGGTTTAAAAGGTGCCTTATTAAGTTTACCGTTACTTGCTTTGTTCTATATACAGATTATGTCCAATGTATCATTTTGAAGTAAATAACCTTATTTTAGTACACTTTAGTAATGTTTTTTGTGATGCTACACTCAGACGGTATTGTGCATCAGAAGTCATCTGTTGAGATTTTGTAACACATAAGTTAGTGTACATACATATGTTCCTGAGATGTGCACTTCAGCTACCAGAAACCCAGTATGGAGCACAGGTAGGTACACGCTTGCCTTGTGGAGATAGAGAACTTCTAAACCTATCACAATGCAGGGGTTTTACTTTAAAAAACAAGACAAAATCTTGTTTTCTTTTTTTGAGACGGAGTTTTGCTCTTGTTGCCCAGGCTGGAGTGCAATGGCATGATCTCAGCTCACTGCAATGTTTGCCTCCCGGGTTCAAGCAATTCTCCTGCCTCAGCCTCCCAAGTAGCTGGAACTACAGATGTTTGCCACCACGCCTGGCTAATTTTTTTGTATTTTTAGTAGAGACAGGGTTTCACCATGTTGGCGAGGCTGATCTCAAACTCCTGACCTCAGGTGGCCCACTTGCCTTTGCCTCCCAAAGTGCTGAGATAACAGGCATGAGCCACTGTGCCTGGCCAAAACATTATGTTCTGATTATGGAAATGTACTCATGGCAGAAAATTTGGGAAATAACAGGCAAGAACAAAGCAAATTCACACAAAATTCTATTGCCAGACATTACCACTATGTACATTTGAGTGTTTCTTTTCAATCTTTTTTTCTTTTTTTGAGAGAGAGTCTTGCTCTGTCACCTAGGCTGGAGTGCAGTAGTGCGATCTCGGCTCAATGCAACCTCTGCCTCCTGGGTTCAAACGATTCTCCTGCCTCAGCCTCCCAAGTAGCCGGGATTACAGGTGCACACCACCAAGCCTGGCTAATTTTTGTATTTTAGTAGAGATGCGGTTTCAGTATGTTGGCCAGGCTGGTCTCGAACTCCTGACCTCAAGTGATCTGCCTACCTCAGCCTCCCAAAGTGCCAGGATTACAGGAGTGAGCACCGCACCTGGCCTTACTCTTTTTTTATGTGGCATTGTTTTTGTAATATTAGGATCCTAGTATGCCATTAAATAGCCATTGAGAACTTTTTTAAATGACTGCACAATATTCGACCAGGTAGATGGAGAAATTTCTGTGCTCAATCCCCTATTGAATATTTGGATTATTCTCGTTTTGAAAAATAGATACTGAACATCTTTATACATAAATCTTTATTTTCTTATATTTCTGAAAATGGGACTAGTGAATGTGAACTTTTAAAAGATCCTTTGTTTAAGGTGGAAAAAGTCTAAGGTTCTTGGAAAACATTGCCATATTGCTGCTCACAAAGCTTTTCATTTTCATTCCTGCTAGCAGTTCATGAGCTTAGAGTGATGGGATGCATTTACCTGACCTTCAGATGCTCCTGCTGCAATGGGAATTGAATCCTTGGATGGCTTTCCTCCTGCTGTGCAATACTGTCTTGTCTTCCCCCCTGCCCTGAGTCCCACTGCCAGTCAGGGCTGTTTTCAGGTGTATGTGAACTCATCCCAGCAGTATGCCTTCTGCTGCCTTTTCCTAGGGAACTGAACATGTTAAATCACAGACAATATGTGGCACTGGTTAATGTTCCTCAAAAGAAATGCGTGTTTGGAGATAGCGTGTTACAGATTGCTCACGGGAGTCTGTTCAGTGTCGTTGTAAGATAGTTTCTCAGAATAATCGCGGGCGCTCTGATGCAGCCTGGTAAAGAAGACTCGGTGATTTCTGGGGCCTGCAAATGCTTGCTAGCTTTCCTTCTGTCTGTGGAAACACTGTATAAATGTATTCATTTCTCCTTTCCAGCAATCTGTTAGTCTCACTGCTCCACTCCAAGTTTCTTTAATATTATTAATAGAACAGACATTAAGAAACAGAATTGTCTAATCCTTGTTCTTCCAAAATAGGTTTAATCCTTGTAGAGCGTTTCAAGCAGACACTAAGTCAGTTACTAAGTCTTCACTTGGAGAAACATTTGTCTGCTGATAGCAACATATTGACCATTCTGAATGTCATCCTTATATTAAGTTAGGGGCATGCTCCTACACAGCCTTGGCTCAGCCCTTGGAGCATACAGTCTTGACTGGGTGGACATGATCCGCTGAAAGTGGCCAGCAGTGAGCAGAGGCCACCTACTGTCAGCAGCACTGCTGCAGGCATGGAGACTTAAATGTGTGAGTGCTGGTATAAGCAGAAATGGGAGAGTCACCTCGATGCTAGGATCCAGATGGCAGCTTAGTTCAAGTGCAGTGGCACATACAAAAATTAATTTTTGGATGGGAGCAAGGACTAGGGCTGAAAGGTTCATTCATAATTTTTTTTTTTTTTTAGATGGAGTTTCGCTCTGTCACCCAGGCTGGAGCGCAATGGGGTGATCCCAGGTCGCTGCAACCTCTGCCTCCCGGATTCAAGCAATTCTCCAGCCTCAGCCACCTGAGAAGCTGGGATTACAGGCCTGCACCACCACACTCAGCTAATTTTATATTTTTAGTAGAGACGGGGTTTACCATGTTGGCCAGGCTGTTCTTGAACTCCCAACCTCAGGAGATCTGCCCACCTTGGCCTTCCAGAGTGCTGGGATTATAGGCATGAGCCACTGTGCCCAGTCCATAATCGCCTTGTGATATAGGAATTGTTATTTCACATTCTTTGATGGAATATGTGTGGCCTGCCTATTGCTCCTCTGAATCTTAGCAGCTTCTTGGTCTTTGTTCAAATGAAATATAAGTCAATTCCCTATCTCTCAGTGTCCCTACATCCATCTCAGTGCTCATTTCCTAATTTTTTCTTCTTTAGAGACAGTCTCACACTGTCACCCAGGCTAGTGTGCAGCGGCTGTTCACAGGCACAATCATAATACACTGTAGCCTCAAACTCCTGATCTCAAGCTGTCCTCCCACCTCAGCCTCTTAGCTGGGACCATGCCACCATGCCTGGCTCACATTCTAAACACTATGCAGGAAGCTTGAAGTGTTAACATCTAAAAATCAATATGGAATGTTTATATTGAAAATATCTTCGGCCGGGTGCAGTGGCTCACTCCTCTAATCCCAGCACTTTGGGAGGCCGAGGCGGGCAGACCACCTGAGGTCAGGAGCAGCCTGGCCAACATATAGTGAAACCCTATCTCTACTAAAAGGTACAAAAATTAGCTGGGTGTGATGGTACACACCTGTAATCCCAGCTCCTTGGGAAGCTGAGGCAGGAGAATTGCGTGAACCCAGGAAGCAGAGGTTACAGTGAGCTGAGATTGCGCCACTGCATTCCAGCCTGGGCAACAGAGCAAGACTCCGTCTCTAAACAACAACAACAAAATTATATATATATAATTATATATAAATATATAATTTATAATATATAATTATTATATAATAAATATATATGTAATTATATATATATATTCAAGCAACGTGAAGAAAAAATTGGGCCCCCTTGTTTTCCTTTAAGGGAGGAGCCACTTTTAAAAGCCAATTTAGAATCCGGATGATGACATCTGTTGCTCTACTGTATCACTGAAATGCAGGTCAGTGTTGAAAAACATAAAAAATTGGAAGTCTCCACCGAAAGACCTACACTGCTGTGGAAGAGATTTTAATCAGACATTTTAAAAGCAATTTTTATTACTTGATCCTGGGCAATACTTGGCTAGGAGTTCGGCTGGAGACAGAATCTAACTCTGAAGATGATACTCCATTATCTTCTAGCATCCCTTGTCGCCAGTGAGAAGTCTGATGTGGATCTAATAAGTGACATGTTATACAGGTTAACTTATTTTCAAGAAATAGAATTTTCTTTTTATTCTTGATGTTGGAAGTTGAAACTGGCCATATCTAAGTATATTTATTCTGTTGCTTAGTACTAATGGGGTATTTTCTTAGACCTGGGAAATTTTCTCCCATTATTTCTTTTGTTTCTTCCCTTTTTTTTTTTTCTTTTTCTAGAACTTTCTAGGACAAATCTTAGGTCCCCTGGATGTTTCTTCCATAATTGTTACCATGCTTCTCATATGTTTCATCCTACCTTCTACTTTTGTCAGCCCATCTGTGTTTATTTCAACAGCCAAATGTTTTATTTTGAAATGATTCCAGGCTTCCATTGAAGTTTCATGAATAGTATAAGGACTGCCATTTACCCTTCACCCAGATTCATAAACTGCTAACATTGCACAATTGCTTTGTCATTCTGTGTGTGTGTATAGGAATCACAGAGACTCATCTTGTAATGTTTGTAATGTCCGTGTATCGTGTATGCACACATTTTTTTTTTCTGACCTATTTGAAGTAAATTACAGAGCTAACAACCCTTTATCCCTAAAGACTTCAGGGATGTTCTATTACTTAACCAATTATGTACAATTATGAGAACCAGGAAAGTTCACATTGATACAATAGCAATAACTAACAATACCATAATCTGTAGACCTTACTGAAGTTTTGCTAATTGTTATTTGGGTGTGGTTGGGTTGTTTGTTTGAGATAGGGTCTCACTCTGTCACCCAGGCTGGGGTACAGTGGCACAGTCATAGCTCACTTCAACCTCAAACTTTGGGCCTCAAGCAATCCTCCTGCCTCAGCCTTCCAAAGGGCTATGATTACAGGCATGAGCCACCATGCCGGCCTCATTTCCCTTTTCCTTCTCAAAAGGATTCTGGCTTTCCCTGCTCCATTCATCTACCTCCACTACCCCCCCAAGAGAGCTGAGTCATTGTCAAGCCAGGTTTGGGGAGCTTTCTTGATGGAGGGAATGGAAGGAGGGTGCTCAGGCTACAGCAGGGAGAGCTTTTCTGTTTTTGAGCTAAAGAGATAACAGAGGGTGCAGAGGCTGAGAAAAAGAGTTCTAAGAAACATGTCACGAGCTGTGTAGCCTCTTCACGCTGCTTCTGAAATAAAATCTAACAGTAGTGAGTGACTTTGACATTGGGGTTTCTGGAGACATCTTGGGATTGGCCCCTGCAGGTTTGTTAAGGGCGTGTTTGTCAGGGTGTGGGGGCTCCCTGCTTCCAGAGGCCCAGCAGCTGCTCTGTACCTGGGGTTCAGGGCTGATGGCAGGGCTGGAGTTCTGGCACTCAGTGACCCCAAGTATGTGTTTTATTTTTTTCCTTGTGGTGATGGTGGAACTGTTTTAGGGTTGGTTTTCGTTTTTGTTTTTTTCAACTTTTATTTTAGATTCAGGGGCTACATGTGCAGGTCTGTTACCTAGGTATGTTGTGTGATGCTAAAGTTTGTGGTATGAACGATGCCATCACCCAGATACTGAACATAGTACTCAACAGTTACTTTTTCAACCCTTGCGTCCTCAACATGTCTCAAGGGCTGGGTTTGAGTTTGGGGCTCCCCGCAAAGCACTCCCATCTCCCCAGCAGTCTCACATGTTTGGGGTCATGACTTCCTATTGCTGTTTCATTTCAGACCTGATCCCTTCTATTTTTCAGGAATTACTGAAATGTCCTGATGTACCTATGGTACCATCTCTTGTTTTTCGATTGGGGATTTTTTTTTTTTTTTTTTTTTTTTTGTGATAGAGTTTCGCTGTCGTCCGCTCAAGCTGCAGTGCAATGGCTCGATCTCGGCTCATTGCAACCTTTGCGTCCTGGGTTCAAGTGATTCTCCTGCCTCAGCCTCCCAAGTAGTGGGGATTACAAGTGCCCGCCACCACGCCTGGCTAATTTTTGTATTTTTAGTAGAGACGGGGTTTCATCACGTTGGCCAGGCTGGTCTTGAACTCCTGACCTCAGGTGTTCCGCCCGCCTCGGCCTCCCAAGTGCTGGGATTACAGGCATGAGCCACCGATTTGGGAATTTTAAAATATTTTTTCCACATCAGGTTTGCAGGTACCACCGTGTGCTCCATCCATTGTGTTGTTTTGGGTGCCACAGTGAGGGTGCTGACCAGTGGTCTGGGTAACGGGGGGGTCTGCTTGCAGGACAGTCAGGAGGAGCCTCCACCCAGGCGGAGACAGGAAGTCTATCAGATGAACTTCAGAATTATTGCTAATCTGGGGTCCGTTTAAACAGAAAATTTGCCCTTAAACTTGATGTTAAGGTTTTGTGAAATACAGTCATATATGTTTTTTTGCATGGAAAATTCCCTGTCTAAAAGAACGATTATTTCTCTAGTTCTCATCCCAGAAACTTCTGGAGTGACACATCCATGCTGTTGGCAGAGCTTGCCTATTAGCACTTTCATGTATAACCTTCCTGTCAAAGAGGACCAAATGCATGCGGATTGGATGGCATGTACGCCTTCCGGAAGGGGTCAGTTCACTTCACTCACTATGGGCAGTAACTTCCAGAGGATAACACTGCATTACCTAATGTCTCAGCTGTTATCAGCAGAGCCTGACCAGTCACTGCACGACTGAGCAGAAAGAAGACAGCAGCACGGTCTGCAGCACCAAGGCTCACCTGCTACTGGTCTTCCAGTCTTTGTTCTGGCGTGGCCAACTGCGCTGGGGGTGGGTGATATTTAAACCTGTGTTTAAGATAATAAAATGCCAGAGGCCAGGCGTGGTGGCTCACGCCTGTAATCCCACCACTTTGGGAGGCTGAGGCGGGTGGATCATTTGAGGTCAGGAATTCAAGACCAGCCTGGCCAACATGGTGAAACCCTGTCTCTACTAAAAATACAAAAATTAGCCGGGCATAGTGGCAGGTGCCTCTAATCTCAGTTACTCGAGAAGCTGAGGCAGGAGAATTGCTTGAGCCCGGGAGGCGGAGGTTGCAGTGAGCCGAGATCACGCCATGGCACTCCAGCCTGAGTGATAGAGCAAGACTCCGTCTCAAAAAAAAAAAAAAAAAAAAAAGCCAAAATAACTAACGAGAGCTGTAAGATCAACCACCTCACACTCTACAGACAGATAAAGTTCAAGAGAGGTTGTGATTTACCCCAGGTCAAACTTTAGTCAGCAGTGTGGCCTGGCATACTGTTCCTTCTAACACCGATGCACACTGAGTGCGTAAAACTTAGTGATAAATAAATTCTGAGGAACAAGTGAAGTAATGACTCCTAGCGAACAATTAGAAGTGCTGGTAACCTTGTTAACGCCAACAAGCAACTCACTACCAAGTTCAATCTGAACTTTTTTTTGTTTGTTTGTTTGAGATGGAGTCTTGCTCTGTCTCCCAGGCTGGAGCGCAGTGGCACGATCTCAGCTCACTGCAACCTTCGCCTCCCAGGTTCAACCAATTCTCCTGCCTCAGCAATCTGAGAAGACTATATTCAACAAATTTTGAGTACCTAATATCAAAAAAACCCTTGTTTCTGATAGCCAGACGACTGCTTTCTCAGGCCAATTTGCTCTAGGATCTGAAATTTTTTGAAAACTGTATGCTGGTATATTACAGGAATATACTGTATCTGTATACTGTAGAACTGAAATCATTCTACATAACAGGGCCTGGAATAATCAAAGTCACATTTACCCACATAGTTTCACATTGTCCCATATTTTTCTACCTACTCTACCAATTATTTTTGCCCTCCAGAAGTAAATGAGGCAGAGATTTGAAGGGCATCACTTTATTCCAAATTTGATCATCATTGAGGGGGATTTTTTACAGTCTTCCTTCCCTCCTCCCTCAGCTGCCTCCCGGTTAGAGATGCTAACAAGAATTACGATGGTCCCAAGATACTGGAGGAAGTAAAAAAGGTGAAGGCCCTACACATTTTAGTTCATGTTTGGCATGTCTTGGCCTTTATGTAAGGCAAGGAGAAAGAGACATGAAATTTAAATTACAGATTAATACAAATGTATTAGTCCATTTTTACACTGCTATAAAGAACTGCCCAAGACTGGGTAATTTATAAAGGAAAGAGGTTTAATTGACTCAGTTCCTCAAGGCTGGGGAGGCCTCAGGAAACTTATTACAATCACAGCAGATGGCAAAGAGGAACCAAGGCACCTTCTTCACAAGGTGGCAGGAAGGAGAATGAACACAGGAGGAACTACCAAACACTTATAAAATCATCAGATCTCATGAGAACTCACTATCACGAGAACAGCATGGGGGAACTGTCCCAAGATCCAATTACCTCCACCTGATCTCTCCCTTGACATGTGGGGATTATAGGGATTACAATTCAAGATGATATTTCAGGTGGGGACACAGCCAAACCATATCATACAAGGAATGACTGAAACTAAAGGTACTAATTTCCTTTCCCTTGATTGGCCAGACTGTCATCTCCATTACTAATAAAGACCAAGCAGGTTGGTTTAATCCCATTGCCCTCTAGTGCTTTCCAGTGTTGGCCAAAATGTTGCCTCCATTTTAAACATTCTTCCTGGGAAAGAATATCTTTCTGTCATACGATTAGGGAGAAGAGAAGAGGAAGCAAGAGAAAAGTTTAAAGTGTTGTACAGAAGTTTCCAACCACAGGAGGAGCAAAATACCAAAGAAGTTGTAGAATACAGGGTGTGGCGAAGAGTTGGAGCCCAGGCCAGGCTGTCTGAGAAGGCATGCCAAGCCAAGGTTCAGGCTTCCTAGGACCATGTCCTGTCCGGAGAAGCATTCCAGTCCTTCTCATCCTGGAGAAGTGGCCAAGCCCCGTGCAGCTAGAGGGAGGCCACATACACCACACTGTCTTTGCAGAAGGTTTCCAGGGAAAAGACAGACCAACTGAATGACCTCCTGCCCATCCTTGGCCAGAGTCCCATGCCAGGGAGAGCTGGGCGAGTCCATGATGTCTGATCAGATCGGGGCTGGCTTCAGGTCTTAAACATTAGGAAGCCCCCAAATGCAGTGCCCGGCAGGCTTCTCTTTGTTATTGATCCCTGCGTTAACTCAAACCACACTCGTTCACCCTTCTGCAGCTCAGCCATGGCAAAGACCGTTGCTGTGCTTCCACCCCCCTGCCCAGTGGTGCAGACCGGAGTCCGATGGTGACCTCCAAACACCAGCTGCCCAGTGCCTGGCCCTGGGCCAAATTCAACGCTCACTGCAAACAGGTAGACACCACGCTCAGGGGCTCGGAAGTAGCCATGTTCAGGGAAGTAGCTGCTGCCAACGTTGATGTGCGTAGAGTTGAACTTCACTGTCTGCAGGGCAGCCGTCCCTTCTGAAAAGCTGGCATAGAAGGCCACAGGGGATCCTGAAACATGAAAGTGCTCAGTGACTCATCCCTTACACCATTGGGTGGGAAATTAAACCCTGAGCCCCGCCGTCCTCACCTTATTAGCACTGGAAATAGGTCACTATTTCTAGATAACCTAGATATTCGCAACAGCAGTGTTATTGCAGGAGCAGAGCTAGATGGCCAATTCTCAGTTTTTTACTAACTGAGAGGAAGGAAAATGCAAGTCTGTTGTCTCAGCTGATTAACATTTTAATAAAACGCTTTTTCTTTTTTTTTTTTTTTTTTTTTGAGACAGGGTCTCACTCTGTCTCCCAGGTTGGAGTGCAGTGGCGGTCATGACACTGCAGCCCCCCGCCTTTTTTTTTTCTCGTAGAGATGGAGTCTTACTATGTTGCCCAGGCTGATCTCAACCTCCTGGGCTCAAGTGATCCTCCAGCCTCAGCCTCCCAAAATGTTAGGCTTACAGGTGAGCCACCATGCCCAGCCACAAAGCACTTTCTCGTTTGATTCCTTTTCCTTCCACCTTCCTTGAGAGACAGTATTCCCGATTGACAAAACAGGTTGGATCCTTCACCAGCTGCCCAAGGTTACATGGTTTGTAAATGGCAGGCTGGGATGGGAACACGGGTCTCTGACTCCCAGACCACTACCTGCTAGGAATCTTGAGATACTCAGGGGAAAGGGAGAAAATATCCATTCTCAAGGTAATAATAATGCTAACACTGGGAAGGTATTTGCAGAGCTATGAAGGCTGGATCCTCCTCCTGGATGTTGAAGACAGAACCTTGGAGACAGAAGGAAAGAGCAGGTGAAGCCAGGGAAGAGAAGCCCCTTCAAGCTGGTCTTTTTTTTAGTTGATAAATGGTCTCTTGTTGCCCAGACTGGAGTGCATTGAGATCATGGCTCACTGCAGCCTCAACTTCCTGGGCTCAAGCAATCCTCCCACCTCAGCCTCCTGAGTAGCTGGGTCTACAGGCACGCGCCATCATGCCTGGCTAATTTTTCATTTTTTGTAGAGACAGTCTTGCTCTGTTGCCCAGACTGGGCTCAAGTGGTCCTCCCACCTCAGCCCCGCAAAGTGCTGGGATTACAGGTGTGAGCTGGTCATCTTAATGTGGTTTTTCAAAATGTTGCACAGAGCCCTGAGATTACATATGGGTAAATTGAGGCCCAGAAAGAAAAAGCTTGTTGCTCCAGACCACACAACTAGTAAATTACCAAGCCTCCTGGGAGCAGACCTTGAATCTCTTGACTTCTGGTTCTCTGCAGGGAGCACTTTGGCCAGCCTTAGGACAGGAACACCGACAGAACACTGGTGCTGGGCCCATGCACGGGCAGAGGCAGAGGAAGCTGCCATGGTGGAGGGTGCACAAACAGCCAGGAAGAAGCCAGTCGTGCTGCCTGGCCAGCATGGTTGGGCAGGTGGTGGGGACAGGGTCATGAGACGGCACAGGAAGAGTGAGTCCTACTTGGGTCCTGGCTGTGACACTGGCCTTGGCACCAATGAGGTCATGTCTACTGTGGGGTTCCTCAACCTGCTCCCTCTGTAGGGGTTTAAAACAAGGTCCCCACTTCTTAGGTGATGAAACCAAAGCCTGTAAAGGAGCAGTTTGCTGAGCAATTACTGACTTGGCTCCCGGAACTTGAGCCTCAGCTCCTTGACTCCCAATTCAGCAAGACTTTTGAATAAAAAAATGTTGCTTTTCTCTAGTTCTGGAAGATTTTCTGAGAATTAGACAGTTGAGAATAGCTTTCTCATTTGTGTTAAGATTGTGTCAAGTCAGCTGGGCGCAGTGGTTCACGCCTGTAATCTCAGCACTTTGGGAGGCCAAGGCAGGCGGATCACCTGAGGTCGGTAGCTCGAGACCAGCCTGACCAACATAGAGAAACCCCATCTCTACTAAAAATACAAAATTAGCCAGGCGTGGTGGCGCATACCTGTAATCCCAGCTACCCTGGAGGCTCAGGCATGAGAATCGCTTGAACCCGGGAAGCGGAGGTTGCGATGAGCCGAGATGGCGCCATTGCACTCTAGCCTGGGCAACAAGAGTGAAATTCCGTCTCAAAAAAAAAGAAAAAAAAAAGATTGTGCCAAGTCAGAGGCCAGCGGCTGCCTCTGCAATTCCCCTAACACCCAGCAGGTGGGTCTCTCGCCTAGCCAAAGGCAGGCCGGCCCGCAGCGCCCTCTACCGGTGCTAGGCCCTTGTTCCGGCCGTTCCGTCCGGGCGCCTGCGCAGGGAGTTTCGCCGCAGAGGGAGACCGCCTCAACCCAGCCTTTCGCCAGACAGGCCCTAAGATGTGGGAAGGGCTGTGCAAACTCAGAGTGTGCTTCCCTGCAGGGCACACATTCAAGCCCTACAGCCTTCCTACAGACAAATAAAGGGAAATTTGGGGTGTATGTGGGTGTGTGTCTGTGTTTGAGACAGACTCCTACTCTGTCGCCCAGGCTGGAGTGCAGTGGAGCTATCTTGGCTCACAGCAACCTCTGCCTCCCAGGTTCAAGCGATTCTCCTGCCTCAGCCTTCCAAGTAGTTGGGATTACAGGTGCCTGCCACCACACCTGGCTAATTCTTTTTTTTTTTAGACGGAGTTTTGCTTTTCTTGCCCAGGCTGGAGTGCAGTGGTGCAATCTCGGCTAACTGCGGCCTCTGCCTCCCAGGTTCAAGTGATTCTCCTGTCTCAGCCTCCTGAGTACCTGGGATTACAGGCACCCACCACCACACCGGGCTAATTTTGTATTTTTAGCAGAGATGGGGTTTCACCATGTTGGCCAGGCTGGTCTCAAACTCCTGACCTCAGGTGATCCGCCCGCCTCAGCCTCCCAAACTGCTGGGATTAAAGGCATGAGCCACTGCGCCCGGCCTGGAAATTTGTTTTGAAGGAAAACATTTTTTTGAAATAAATATCGTCATGGTAAACACATTTCCAAACCATCAGGCAAATTCTGAAAGTCATCAGCATATTGAAGCCTTGCACCACCACAAGAGGAAACAAGAGAGAAGTGTCAGTGTAGGTGGACACAGCCTGGACCCTGAAAATACTGGGGAAATGGGAAAACATTGACTGCATTCCTACATGAGGTAAGCTTCGTGCTAGGTATTTGGTAAACGCAGCAGTCTTCATAACACAACTTTGACGTGGGTAGGGATTCTGCCATTTTACTGAGGAAGAAGCAGACAAGTGATGCCAGAGCCTGGGTGCTTCCCACTGCTCCACATTGCCTCTTGGGCCATAGGGAGGGTCAGCAGGGGCAGGGGCTGCCTGGGACGGTACCTTCAACAAGGCCTTGGACTTGCCACATGCCAGGCTGCGCATGGCCATGGCTAAGGTGGTGGCCTTGTACTTAGCCCTGTGTGTGGGTGGGGTGTGGCCACAGCTCCAAGGCCAGCCTGACAGAGAGAGTCACTTGAGACACAGAGCCTAGTTGTCCCCCTCCCAGGACCACACTCAGGGAGGGGATGGGAAGCTTGGTCGCACATCCCTTCAACCTCAAAGCCAGCTCCCAGGCCCAGGGCCCTGCAGGGACCAGCCATGGAGGGCCTTTTGGAGGGGAAGAACGAGCACCCTAAAGACAGTGCTCCTCTGCTGCTCACTAGCTGTGCAAGCAGGAAACTTCTGTTTGTGCCTCAGTTTCAAATAAGGTGGTAGTGCTGATGAGTGTGTCATTGACCTTTTGGGATGGATCATTGTGGTGAAGCCCAGGAAGGGGACTAGCACAGAGCGGTGAGACAGGTTAACTGTATTTGCAGAGGGAATGAGCTCCTTACAGCACCCGTGGCTTTCCCTGTACAGTCCACTAAGGTGTGTTCCAAGACATTAGCAGGTGCCTGAAATCTCAGACAGTACTAAACCCAATATATACTTTTTTCCCCTCTATGTAAATACCTATGCCAAAGTTTAACTTGTAAATTAGGCACAGTAAGAGATTAATGACAATAATAAAATATAAAGCAATTATAACAATATACTGCAATAAAAGTTATATGAATGTGGTTTCTCCCTCTCTCAAAATCTTATTTTACTGTACTCACCTATTTTCTCATCGTGGTTGATGCAAGAAACTGAAATCAAGCCTGGGCACATGGCTCACATCTGTAATCCTAACACTTTAGGAGGCTGAGGTGGGCAGATTGCTTGAGCCCAGGAATTTGAGACCGGCCTGGGCAACATAGCAAGACCCCGTCTCTACAAAAAGTACAAAAATTAGCTAGGCATGGTGACACATGCCTGTAAGTCCCAGCTACTCTGGAGGCTGAAGTGGGAGGATCAGCTGAGCCTGGGAAGGTCGAGGCTGCAGTGGGCCATGATCCCACCACTGTACTCAAGCCTGGAAAACGAAGTGAGAGGCATCTCAAAAAAAAAAAAAACAAAAAAAAAAACCAAAAAACAGAAAAAAGAAACTAAAATCATGGCAAGTGAAACAGTAGCTAAGTGGGGCTGCAAGTGGCTGCAGTCCCTAGCCACATTCTACCTAGATACAGTGGCTTAAACGCACATGGGAATTAAGGGGGTGACGTGAAGAGTTGAGATGCGGGGACTTGAGGGCTCCCCTGGCAGGGCAGGAGGCACTCCCCTCTCTGCAGCAGTACACGGCCCTGGTGTGCGTGTGGCCTCCAGGCTCTGCCGTTCACGGGCTATGGCACTAGCAGGTGGTTTTTGTGACTTCTCCTGTCTCCCCATAAGCCAGGTAGCTTGAGAGGCCCACACCCCTGAAAAGCAGGTGGGCCAAAGGGAAGGTGGACCCAATAGGGGTGACCGATGGCCATGCTGTTCTCTCTCTTCCTGGCCCTCTTGGAGGCAGAAGAGCTGCCGCCAGCCCGCCCTGGCCTCCTAGACTCGTCCAGTCTCCCCGGTCCAGGAACTCACCTGTCTCCCAGAGCGCCGCGCCCAAGGCACCCGGCACAGGCCCTGTGCCGCGCGTGTCCACCAAAGGCTCCGCTTCCTTCTTGTCCCTCTTTCGGGGAGCTTCTAGGCCTTTCTGCTGCTTCTTCCCTTTCCTGCTCAGCATGGTCTGCAGCTTCCCCAGGTCCAGGCTGACGTTGGCTTCCATGAGTCCTTGGAAGTTCCCAAAGAGGCTGTGGAAGAGCCGTTGGTGCTGCTCCAAGCTGCGCTGGGTGGCGAAGAGTGCGTCGTGGAGGCCGTCAAGGGAGGCGTTGAGGGAGGCAGCCCCGGCCTCGGCCTCACAGCACCGCCCGACACGCTTGACGTCGTTGCTCAGGCGCTGGA